TTACTTCGTTGACCTCTAGTTGCATCCAATTGATCTTATATGATATTCAATTATCGTTTTGTAATCCGAATCAACTATTGAATATTTACACTTTGGTCCTCAAACTTTGAATTTCCTTCATTTTCGCACATTTTTCGTTCCTTTCTTTCAAATGCACCAATTTACATTGAGTTCAACCCAACAAACATAATTAACACCAAATTAAGTTATAACTCATCCTAATCACTAACAAATACTCTAATGTAATTTTCTAAATAAGTGTACAAAATAAACTTATCAGTCGAGGTTTATTAGTGGAGAATCTAATGGAGTATGATCCACGTTCGTCTTTGACTTGATATCCATCATTGGTGGAGGTTCGGCTATTCTCGAAGATGAGTCTTTTGCTGTTATTGGAATCCCTATCTTCTTCGCCTTCCGAGTTCCGATCCATCCACAGAAAACCTCACCATTTCCCTTGGTCTGTAAAATTGAAATTGGGGATTTATGATTTTGTTGTCTGCAATTGAATTGGACATCTTTTGTTTTCGATCCACTGAGGTCTTATGTGGCCACGTCACTTTTTCTTCCACCACAGAGACATATTTCTCCAGTTGTATAGATAGAATTAACAATGGTGAGCATTGAGTAAATTAATGAATAGTTCAATCAGCATTGAGCAACAAATTAAAATTCAATGAGCGAGTAGTAATTTGGGTAAAGTTCAGTGAGCACTTGTTTAATTAACTCTTCTATGTGGCATGTGAGTGACATTAAATGACAAGTCTAATTTACTGTATTGTTATAAGATTCATATTATTGGATATACCACGTGTTGCCACCTAAACTGGAGATAAATAGCGCTATAAAAAATTTACTAACTTCACACTTAGAATTTGTTTGATCTCATTTTTTGGAGAAATATATTTCGTAAAAGTGATTTTTTTTTTTAAATGTGATATTAAAAAAATAGGTAAAAATATTTGAATTTATGTGTAAAATTATTTTATTGAAAAAATGTGTGATTAAAAATTAGTTTAGAAAAAAATAGTTTTTAAAGAATGGGGGCTCAAACGGGGCTTACTTTTAATCTTTTTTTGTTCTCAAAATACAATATATATTTTACTTTCGTTTTTACAATAAACTTTGTAACACAGTGTGTTACATTTTGTAAAATTATGTTACACACTTCACCATCTGATTTTCACCGCCGTTGTCGCCATCACTTGAAATATGTTATGCATGTTTTGTAAAAAAATTAATTCTTATTCATATAACAAAAAATTACAACAAACCATAATTCTAGATTTTAAATGAAATAAAAAGCCTATTGTGTCCAGGGGCGGACCCAGCACCTGGCCAGCCCCCGCGGCCGCCCGTGCTGGGTCCGCCGAGA